TGGTTGCTGGGAATTGAACTCAGGACCTCAGGAAGAGCAGGCAGTGCTCTTAACCACTGAGCCATCTCTCCAGCCCCACAAGTTTTTTAAGAAGTTAAAATGTACAGTATCACTTCTAGGACCCCATCATTAACACCCAGATGTTTCTGGGGCATGGACTCCAGCTGAATGTGCAAAGTGTTGAAGATAAAGGGATGAGGAAGTCTGTCTTTAGGTCTTACCATTCGTAAACATCAGATGAGTTCTAGGAAATGATGTGTACCCCGATGTCGATACAGCCCCCTATGTCTCTAAAAAAAGACATCAATGGCCATTCACATTATCTCTTACCAGATGTCTGAGTCTTTGAACAAACCCTGGCTCTTCCAGGAACCCAAGCCTACTAGATCTTTTTCAATCTCTCAGGTTTTTTCATTTGTTTGTTTTTTGTGTTTTGAGACAGGGTTTCTCTGTGTAACAGCCCTGGCTGTCCCAGAACTCACTTTGTAGACCAGGTTGGCCTTGAACTCACAGAGATCCACCTGCCTCTTGAGTGCTGGGATTAAAGAAAGGCGTGCGCCACACACCCGGCAATCTCTCAGGTGTTTGTCTGCCTTATAATTGGCAGCCTTGGGTTGTTCTTTAAGGCTTTGGTCATTTTTGTGAAGTGTTTTCTTGACACGGGTTCTCGTGGAGCCTGAGATTCACTATGTAACTGAAGATGACCTTGAACTCCTTGGTCTTCAAGCCTCTGTCTTCCAACTGCTGAGATGATAGGCTTGTACCTCCAAGCCTGGCCTGATGGTTTGGTCTTTCTCTGTACCTTCGGGAGAAGCCGTTTAGATGCGACCTCCAAGAGGGAGGCTTACCTTCTTTGCTTGGAGACCTCTTCTCCTGACTATGAACTGCTTCCTCCTGCTTCTCCTCCCAGCCCTGGCCTTCCTTCTTCCATGTTCTTTATTCCATCTGTTAAGAGTCTCACCAACGTTTATGTAATTCGGGGCTCTGCCCTAGGCCTTGTATCTTCTCAGAGCACCATTTTTTCCCTCTAGTCTCATAGTCCATTGTTTCAACTTGCACATTCAGTTGGGGCTGACTCCTCATGATAGAGTTCTATCCCCAATGTCTTAATACAGTTAGGTTCCTATAGTGAAATGCTGGGGGGCGCTTATAAACACAGAAATGTATCCCTCTTAGTTCTAGGGGCTGAAGGTTCAAGACCAAGGTGCTGGTAGATGCTGTCTCTGATGAACTTCCTAATTCACAGAGGCATCTCAGTTGTGCCTTGATATGGCAGATGGGACAAAGCTGCTTCCTAGAGCATCCCTTAGAAGGGTATTGGTCACCTCCCCCAAAGGCTAATAACATCTAGTACCCTTGTTTTGAGGGTTAGGCATCAACCTATGATCTTGGGAGAATATAAAATTCCAATCTTTGCC